AAAGAGTAAGCTTCAGTAAAGGGAGAGCATTTTTTTTTTGTAAGCAACATGAAATCTTAACATGGGAGAAAACTCTGGTGGAGTGGAATGAACAGCGGGTGAAGGAAATTAGAAATGTGTATGAAACCTGAGATGTTATCAGCATTCTGACCTTTGAACCTCCTCGCCCATCCCATCCATAACGACCCCCTCCACCTTTTTTTTTTTTTCAAAATTCTGAATTTCTTGGTCTTTCTCTATTTTCGTTCGCCGTGTTTTTTCTTCTTGTTTTTTTTTTCTTCACTACCCCCTCCCCCTCCATCTCCCCCCCCCCCCCCCTTACCTCCTTCTCGTGCCTGGTTATGATGATTATTATTTTTTAAACGCTGTCGGGGTCTGGTTTTTCTCTCCCTTCTATCCCGGGGCTTACCTCGTGTTAAGGCGAAAGCCCTCTGCACGGGGCTCGGCCTATGGCTGTGCCTCCACAGCAAGGGATGTTAGAAAAATAAGGAAGTTTTACAGAAAATAGCGGGACGGCAGCTACAGGCTAGTTTACGAGGCCAAATATTTTTATTGAAAATTCAAACACTTAAAAGAAATCAATATTAAGGTCAAGAAACATGCTGAAAAAAACACCTAAAATCTCGATTTAAAAAAAAAAGCAAGAAATAATTATTTAATCAATTGTTATTGTTGCCAGGATTTAATTTAGGAAAGTTGTTTTGCTTGTTTAAGATTTAATTATAGTTTTGTTTACAAACCAAATAAAAAGGCTATAGATTTAATTAAGCGATACAACTACTTTATAAGCTGTAGCGTACTGAATGTTATGATTGTGTGGACGTCATAAATGGATGACACCTTAGTTAGAAGATACAAAGGTATTATAGGGTCTTTAGCGTACTGGATGTTGTGATTATGCCTAGTTTTAATCAGCCTGCCTTCCGGTTGGAGATACATTAGCCTTCGAGGCAAGTCGATTATATCAACTATTCTTATTTTCAATTATCGTTAAGTTCACCCGACAATACTCATGCTAGCATGATCGTACAATGTGATTTACAATTAAGGGTTAATAATACACTTTATATATACTGACCTCAATTTGTATACGAATCAATAATTTTATATTATATAGATCTCTTTTATATTATATATAGATCTCTAGATATAATAATACTAATCGTAATGCGATTGAGGCAACGTCGACCTGGTGTTTATACAATGCATCGTTATACTTTTCTTTTTTAGCAAGACTTAATACTTTTAAGATCCGTAATAATAGTTGTGTTTTTGTGTAACCGAATTGTCCAGCTAATTATACACGTGATTTCTTATTTTAGCCTAAACACTCGATCTTGTTCTCGCGCGTTGATTTGCGTCTCACTCCCCCTCCCCCCTTACTCTCGTATTATGGTTTATGTTTGTGTATTCATGAGATGCTTGTTAGCTTTAAACCGTGTGCAGGTCGGGAGTATCCCCTCCGTCAGCAACTGGTCATGCTGTTAGGTAGACGCTGGGAGCTAGACCGTTCAGGCGTAGGATTGGGTTCTAGCACCTTCTGGGCTGAGGTGGGAGATGAAGCTTGAACAGGTATAGGATTGGGGTGAGGGGGGGGGGTAGAGAGGGAAAGATGGATGCATGGAATTCTGCAATGTAGTGAGTGCCCGTCTTGCAAATGCATAGCTTGTTACTAGCAATCTCGTTTTACTAGTCATAGACATAAAGCTCTTTAATTGTAGACTATATCTCTTGTAAAAAAAAAATTAAAAATAGTCGATTGCCTTTGTTTATTCTTTTTTTTTAAATCTAAATTCTGCCAGGATTACACGATACAATAATCGAACCTTTCCTGTCTTTGAAGCAGACGTTTGTCACCGTTGTAATCCATGTCGCAGACACGGGCTCACGTGTTTTTTGTGAAGATGGCGCCAAAAAATAATGCGTTGCCATAGTTTATCAACAAGCTGCTAAGTTTGGAACGTTTTCCAAATACTAAAATAGTTACTTTTCTTTCTTTCTCTCTGTCTCAAATATAAATAAATAAATAAATATATATATATATATATATATATATATATATATATATATATATATATATATATATATATATATATATATACCCTCAATCGTAAGTATGTCCTTCCCTCACCAACCGAACACATTTTAACTGGGTTATGCCTTGTGTGAGTAGAATGGGGGTTAAATTAAGTTTAGGACATGATAGATGAATAAATAATTTTTTCTCACCCTGCTCCCCCGATACGACGCCCCCGAAAAGTGGTTTATGAGTGTAACTGCAGTATCTGTATCTCCGCAGATAAGTGGGCGCAGATTAGACGGATATCTTAGCCGGCTCAGCGCGGCTCCATTTTGGCTAGATTAGCCGGCATGGATAGATTTCTTGGTGTATGGAGTTTTTTTTTTTTTCTTATGTTATTTCAGTTAGCTGAAAGATTTTTTTTTTTTTTTTGTGAGTTGGGGTAATACTTTTTAGTTATGACATTTCAAATTATACCTGTTTCAACTTGTCTGATATGATGTATGTCGAGATAACTCTCACCGTTTGAGATCGAACCGAGTTAGGGTAATTTATCAACTCAATGTGTATTTTGAAGAGCGCTTTTAAATCTTGAAGCGAACTTTATACATTTTAAATTAAATTATATTTTACGAGATTGGTTATGTAAGTTTATGGGTGTGTGTGTGTGGGGGGGGGGAGGGTATGTCTATTATCTTGAGCTGGATTTACGTATGTGAATCGAATCGAACCCCAGTCTCACAGGTTAGTTATCTTACGCTCTACCACACAATCAAGCATGTATAAACGTAAATGATATTGTCTGTTTTAGTTTATCATTACAGTCGATGTCTTATTTTGGCATTTATTTTATTTTTTTTCGCTGTTTATTTTTTTTTTCTGACTACCATTGGCACAAGTTTTACTCCTATTATGAAATAAAAAAAAATGTTTACACGATTCCTAGAATCCTTGTCTTACACTACGAGTCTCAAGTAACTAATATATAGCCCAACATCTCAGAATTAGCTGCCATTTGTAGTAGTATTCTTCCCATACCATGCACTAAAACCCTCATTCCAAATGCAATATCTTCGCAGAAATGACTCATAGCTTGCAGTGGGATTAGCCCCAAGTGCTATTCGTAGTCGTTCTTCAGTAAATCTCCAGGAAGTCCTTGGTCTGAACGCGATATCTTTGCAGATATGACTCAGAGCTAGTCGTGGGATTATAGGGACTTCGCTGTGATCGTGTCTTGTTCGGCGCATGCGCGTGGGGAGAATCACACCGCTTAGATGTGCTCCGGTTACCAAACTCAACCGTGAAACATGACTGGGGTCCAAAAGCATGTGGCCTCGAAATCAATGCGAGGGTCTTCGAGTGGCCTCGATATCAATACGAGGGTCATCACGTGGCCTTGTTATCAAAACGAAGGGTTTTTGTATTTCGCTGAAAGCGCTCTGCAGTTGCGGTATTGATGCGGCGTTTTTATCCGCTGTCAAAGGAGTGGTGAGAGTTCCATTTGTATGGAGATAACGCCCACGTCCATGTCTTAAGTTATTGGTTATATTACAGTTAATATACTTAGGAAGAATTTGTTAGATTAAAGTAATGGGTAATAGTTGAGTAGATGTCGAGAGATACCAAAGCTCATTTGATTAAAGTCGTGTCTATTATACAAGGTTTAGCATGAACAGATACAGATTAAAGCAGTTTATTTTTATAATTATTCTTGTTTATCATGAATTAATTGTTTTACATAGTGCATAAATAACATGTTGCATGAGTACTGAACATAAGTACTTAGTTTAAATGTAAATAAATTTATTTTAGTAATTTTCCTAAACTTTTTTGCCTCTATTGAATTTTTCAAATTTCAAACAGATATTTTTTTTAAGAAGCATTGTTATTACATTATCTAATTTTCATCAAATTAATACACTTTTTAAACTCCATTTTATTAGCAAACTTAATTTATTTAGTAAAGACCCATTTTCTGTAATTGGTACATAACTATCAGAGTTTGTAAATAGCACCGATTATAGTCAAGACATCACGAACTTAGTTCTGTTTCTACTTATAACTCTGAAAGTCACGTGTTGACCTTCACACTGCACCATAGTATGCGTGCGTACATTAAGTAATTAGTAATTTATCAACATTTATACTCATTCTAAATCAAGATCCTTAACAATTTAATAGTTGTAATGAATGCAAATTGAATGCATAAGACATACCATACCTTGCAATTTCACAAAGTTTCAGAGCATCACGCTAATACGAAATAAATTAATCTTAGCTCCTAGTTCCTTGGAAGAAATGCTTTTCGGCATTTGGATTTAATATATTGTGCAGCTATTTCTATACCATGCTACTATATTTGTCTACAGCAGGGGTTCCCAACACCGTGCCCGCCTCTCACTATTCGACAGAGACAGATTTTTTTTCATAAACATTATTGAAAGGTTGACGGGAATGGAAATCAAAAGTTTGGGGTGGGGGGGGGGGGTGCAAAATCGAAAATTTGAGGGGGGGGTGCAAATCGAAAATTTGAGGGGGGGGGGGTGCAAATCGAACATTTTAGGGGGGTTGCAAATCGAACATTTAAGGGGGGGGGGTGCAAATCGAAAGTTTTGTCCCCGGGTGACGGGAAGGGTCGCTACGCCTCTGGAAGGAGTTTGTCAATTTAAAATAAGTGGTGCCCGCCACCCTACCGATATTTTAGAATGTGCTCTAGAGTAAAAAAAGGTTGGGAACCCCTGGTCTACAGTATTGGAATTATGATAGGTATAGGCTAAACAAAGGAGGAAACACCAGGGGTCAATATAGGCGGGAAAGGTGAGACGATCTATCGAATTAACTGCTAGCTCATCAGTAGTAGCGGCATTGAAGTCGAACCCTCAAGAAAAGAACAAAAGGGGTGGAGCTTTAAGGAAATCACTAAAGGAGTAGGATCCTTAAGGAAATCGCTAAATGTGCGGGACCCCCAAGGAAAGCACAAATGAGATCGACCAAGAAATACCAGGTGCGGGACCTTGAAGGTACAAAAACTCCAAAAATAGGCTTCACCTGGAGTCAGGTTGAGAAAATGGCGCAGGACAGAGGACTCTGGAGATTTTTAGTTGGAGGCCCATACCCCAGCAGGACAGAGAACTCTGGAGATCTTTGGTTAGCGGCCCATACCCCAGCAGGACATAGAACTCTAGAGATCTTTGGTTGGAGGCCCATACCCTAAAAGGGATGACATTCAGTTGTGGTATCAGTAATTAGAAAAGTATAAAAACCAGCTATGCAAATGTGTTGAGTAAGTTAGTCAAAAATATTTTTTTTTATTAACTTAAATTTTTATTTGAAGCATTTATTAAATACACTATTTAAAGAAAATAATCGTCTTTGTACAGTTAAAAAAAAAGTAAAAAATAAAATAAAAACAGCACACGCATAAACGCAACTAGCGTTTAGTAGGCTTAAAAAAAAACACCAAAAAAAACTCATCTTTCCAAACATGCATCAGGATCAAACGAACCAAAACAACCAAGTTCCGCCAAAGGGAAGAGAAACAAGCGCTGGTATAAAAAAAAAAAGGAAACATGGAACAAGGCGGACGGCCAGGGAAATGTATTTCCTTACCCCTTTTTGGTGAGCGCCGACTATCGCCAAAACATTACCGGCGCAGTTTCCCCCTCCTAAAATAAACGAACGCCGTCGTTAAGAAGACATTACTGGGTATTCGCGAAAATTATATTAAACGTAATGCGACACACTTCCGATGCTGGGAAGGAAAGGAACTGGAGAGGGGGGGGGGGGGGGTGGAGGGGGGGAGTTTTAAGGTTGAGGTTTCAAGCAAAACGAATTAACTTTAAAACGGTTTTGTCTCTAAGAAAATAGATCTGTATTACTTAGGTATGTACTTCGGCTGTTTGAAATGATTTAATGATGGGTACAGTATTAGATAAATATAATATTGGCTTGAGTACATATCTATATACATGTCTATAAGTACATACACATACTTATACACATACTCATACACATACATACACATACATACACATACACATACTCACATACACATACACATACTTATACACATACATACACATACACATACTCACATACACACATACACATACACATACACATACACATACACATACACATACACAAACATACATATGCACATATACATACACATACACTTACACAAACATACACTTCACAAGCACAAACATATACACATACAACATATACATAGGGAAAACTCTGACTGCAGGTGATATTTGTGTGGAAAACGAAAATTGGGAGGGCATGGGATGGTTGGGTGTGGAAGCAGATTTGCTGGGAGCAGTAAATGTGCCTATGTTTCCAATATGTAGATGCAGGTCTGAGGTTGATTAGAGCATCCATTGAGGCAAGCGTTACATGCGTGGTCAGTTCCAGGTTTAATGTGGAGCACGGTCATGGGCTTTTTTGTCGGGAGTTGTTTGAACCAGGCAGGTCCGCGATGATTGGATCAAACCACGTGAGAATATGTCAATTTAAGAGCGCAAAACGGCATAGCAGGCTTTTTGTAAGCACACGCCTACGTCCCAAACCACACAACATAGATCTCACAATCCGCACGACATACCTACCTCCCAAACCTCACGATACGCCTACCACCAAAATCACACGACATAGATCACAAACCGCACGACATACATCACAAACCACACGACATGCCTACATGCCCACTATCTCATATATATATATATATATATATATATATATATATATATATATATATATATATATATATATATATATATATATATATATATATACACATTCATATACATATGTATATGTTATATATATATATATATATATATATATATATATATATATATATATATATGTTATATATATATATATATATATATATGTTATTTATATATATATGTTATATATATATATATATATATATATATATATATATATATATATATATATATATATATATATATATATATATATATATATATATAATCAAACACATACATATGTATATCTCTTGTGTGTGTGTGTGTGTGTGTAAGAGTAAAGTGTAAGGGAAGTAAAAATAACAAGAAAGGCGAGCATTTATGGGAAAATTTCCTCACCTCGTGACGTCAAAACTGTTCCGCCCCGTTGCCTAGTAGATTTTTTTTTCAATATGGCGTCAATCTTTTTTTTTTTTAAAGTTTAATTTTTTTTTCTTCAGAAAAGTGTGTTTTAAACTTTATAAAGTAGGCGTGTCTTTGGAAAGGGGGGAGGAGTGGGTGTGGAGGCAAGAAGCGTGGATTGAAGAGAGGAAGTGGCGTTGATTTACATGCGCAGAGTGGCAATGTTTTCTGAACTCATGGGGTAGTTTTCCCCACCCTCCCCTACCCCCCTTATCCCTAACCCTCCGGCTCCTCGGCTTCAATTACCCGTCGCGGCAGGATCAAAGAGTAAGGGGAAAGATGAAAGACCCTGTTGCTCTTACTCTGTTTTTTTTTCGAAACTTACAGATAAAAAAAAAAAATCTACGAGGGGAAACAACTCATGATTTTTACCAGTAACCAGGGGCTGTAATCCTGTCAAATCCATTTGGTTTATAAAGTCCAGCCGTCATAACATCGCCGTCGAAAGCAACTTTTAATTACGTTAGGGAGAAAAGAAATTGAAGGGCGCTGCTTCCGTAAAGCGAGTAAATTGCCTCGAGGTAATTCTGTAAATCGGTACCCGCTTTACACGTAGGCCGCCATTTTGTTTCCTATGCGACTGTTGATAGGTTTTTGAGCTATATGATGTCGTGTTAATGTGTCATTCATATAAGCTTTTTTAACCCTTTATCTACTGACGGTACTTATAAGTACCACTTTAATTAAATGCCTGTATTATTTTTAATTTAATACAAATTTTAAAAATTATTGAAGTAATTAATAGTATTATCTCCCCTGAGTCGCCGGTAGTCGGAGGTATCAATGTTTTTTGAAAATTACTGGTGTGGCGCCATTTTCAATGTCTTGCTATATCGGTAGTTCACAATTTTTCTGTACATTTCTCACATACGTTCTTGATTTCCCTTTGTTTTACCTTATTTTTCAAGTTTTCAACCCCAAATATTTTTTATTGGCAACTTCAATAGTCAGGCAAACGCATTTAACTTCTAGTTATACAATTTTTATCAAATTGTCTTTGTATTAGATCGATGTTTACAAGTGGACTTATAAGTAACGTCAGGGCACACGGTCATATTTTTTGGATTTTTAGAAAATGGCAGATTTTTTATGTGGAGTTACATAATTGTTGTCTTGATAATTAATTATCGAAATGTACTCAAAAAATGATATTTACACATTTATAAGAAGTTTAGCATATGGTTTACCTAAGAAATATTGTAATTACATGTTAATTTCTAGTAGTAAAAAATAACAAGAATAAAGGTATCAGTTGCAGGCTCGTTTACAAGGTTTAGTTTACTTCATTTATATACCAAAGCCTAGTTCTAGTTGTAAGATTTAATTTGTTAGTTATATTTACTGCACTAAACTGTCTTGCCTACAACAACTAGCATATACGTAATGTATACATGTAGGCTAGTAATAGTCCATACTTCTGCATATAGTATAGATCAATATGGTAAATTTTAATCAGTAAACAGAAAGGAGTAGGCCACTACGGCTATCGTAAACACATTGAGCTCACTTCTATTTATGAACTTTACACTATAGTGTAGACTTGTCATAACATTCTAGTAGGGTACAATTATACTAGTATTACTTGTAGTTGCGTGCTGAATGACTAGGCTTTTGTTTGTTAATGCGGCTCATTGTACTAGCTATTGGAAGCTTCCAGCAAAATCATGTTCATTCCGGCAACCGTTGCTACACCAGAAAGACCACAGAGAAGATTGAGGGAGCATGACATGTCGACTACTTTTGCTGTGTTTGAGGTCTAAGATGTGTTCCGATAGAAAATGCAGTAAAAATCGTACTCAAAATATTCTTTTGTGCTGTATTCATGTGTGAAAATTACAAAAAGGTGATTGTTATAATGATTGCCATGTTATTAGTTAATAAATTGTATCGTTTGTTCCTGTTTTGTAAAAAATAAATTTGAAAAAAATGTCCTAGTTTACTGACGGTACTTATAAGTACCAATATCTGTTTGGGCCATTAAAAATTTATGAAATGAAATTTCCTTCGATATATGCTTTGAATGTGCCAAAAGCAATATAGTAACACATTGTTTAAGTAAAAATCTCATTCAGAACATAATTCCGTAAATAAAGGGTTAAAACGGTTGATCGAATTGGTTATATTAAAGATGAATCTGAAATAACTTTGATATTTCTTTCTTTAATGAAAATCTTATTTAGCTATGTATAAAACGTGTAAACTGGCAAAGATAAAAGTTTGAAATTGTTACAATACACAATAGGGTGGTATACAATATAGTTTGAGGATAGTATATTAAAATGTGAAAACGGGCATATATACAGTTTATTATGTTCAAAATGTTTTTTTTTAAAAATAGACGTGAAAACTGATACTGAATGAAGTAGGCCTACACAAATAATAGAAAATGTGAGAGTAAAGTAAGTTTAGCATATTTTGCTCGATAGCTTTGTAATAATTATAAACCTTACAAGACTGAGTAGAGATAACGAAAGTTTTAAAATTATAAACAGATTTGGCATTAACAAAAAAAAATATTTAAAACCGTTTTTAAATAAACTTAATAATAAAATTCGATAATGGACAGGGAATAAAATGCAAAATCAATAGACAAGAATACAGCATAAAACTAAACAAAGAATTAAGCTGTAAAAACAGACACACCTTCAGGTACACCATTGATCTTTGTGAACAAATTTAAAAATAACACTCCGTGTCTTTCCACTGAAAGCATGGAAAAATATATCAAATGTCGCTAACATGTGAAGCCATGTTAAAAGTATTAACGGGTATATTTTTTAAGTCAGATTTTTTTTTAAGCTCGTGTGATTAAGTTAACCTTTTCTGCACTTTCCGAG